CTGCAAAGCCTCATTTTAACTTGTGTGTCAATCACAACTCGTGAAAATCTTTCGTCGCTTAATAGGGCTACCTCCATCGTTTCCACAAAGCAATTTGTGCTTGTATATCGAAAAAGTATATCGAAAGTCAAGTATCGTAGAACGTAGCACAAAAGAGCACCGAATCTGCCCGGGTTGCACTGATAGTATGTTCTTTTATTATAGTATTCTTCCCATTGTTGCGCTGTATTTCTGCTGCTTCCATGACTTCCTCCAGCACGATCGGTATTAACGAGCAGTTTACTCGGAAAGGGATCCGAAGTTCCAGTCCGGGTTTACCTGGCTGCAATTTTTCATCCATCGCTGCAATTCTTCCAATATCTGTCGAAAGTTTGGTCCTTGGTAGTCAAATTGATACTCCACAAAATTTAACAAGTTCCCGCATGGTATTTCACTGCTAAACGCTGGCTACAATTAAGGAGCAACACCAATCCCGTCTTCGTACTGATTTCTGCAGTAATTTTTTCAGTAGATACATCAACGAATCAGAATCCACCTGTGCGACCGCGACCAATAGCGCTAGTCCTTCGTAAAGGCGACAAGGGTCGTCTAATGTGGCACAAATGTCCACGAGGATGCTGCGTTCGTTTGTATCCCAGATCTCTGGTTTACAGGAAGGATAGGGGTTGCTGCAAACCCCGACTTGGAGCGCACCGAACCTGATAGAGTTTGGATCAGTTCCACTAGTTAGCGTGTGCACCAAATGAGAAAAGGAAAAGTGATTAAATTTGTTTAGCTAGCTTTTGTTCTCTCTTTTTCTCTCCCTGCAACTAAACTCGGGCAGCTGCCCGTTAACATGCAAAGGCCCGCAGCTCCCTGTTTCTTAATCCTTCTTGGTCTCACGATGTGCGGGTCCCAACTTGATCTTCAACCTCCTTGGTCGTCTTGTCTCAATGTGTATCCTAACAGATCCATGGAGACAAGGAGCTCCAACGTTGCTCCATTTTTGGGATCCTGGGTTTTACACGCCATTTTTACGTATATATTAGATAGCTACATTGTGATTTAAAATTGTGCTTGAATAAGCTGATAATTCTATCAGTGCACAATCATCGAGATTATCACGCTCCATATTTTATGCATTTGCCCATTTGCCTGTAAAACACGGCGGTTAAACCATACAAGTCTTGACCGTACCAAACTGTAGTCTCAGTTTCATCGATATTGCAAAATTCTTATACCTGAAGCAGCATCTGAAAAAATAATTCGTTCTATGTAGTGCATCAGGCTTCATTATACTTATCTCTGCGACCCGAAGTTCCTTCATCGATATTTCTCCCTTAATAAGCTCCAAAGTAAACTGAACGCTGGGACTGACAAAATACACAACAAGTTAGGTATATTTTTGTAATTTGTACAGCTTGCTCAAGCGGAGCTGTAGATATATTTGACCAACTCGATTGTCTCAACACTCTCGTGTTTGGGATTCAGATCTGCAAAAACTTTCAGCTTGACTTGATAACAATGACTAAATATTCCACCGAGTACATTGTTAAGGTTTTACTTACGGTTTGCGTTTGTATGAAAAGCTGGACATGTCCAAATAATAATTGAATCAACAGTGCTGCTACTGCTTGTTGCACTTTGCTCTGTGATTCCTTGTTTCCAGGCGTCATCCGCGGCAATCGTATCAGTTTGGCGTAGGGATGGGCTTTTTTTGTAACTACTAAGTCTTCTCGGTAGGGCTCTACATTAATTACTAATTAAACACGGAATTCAGAACCGAGAAAAGCGGTATATTGCCTTCATGGTAATGTAGTAAACACAATCTACGCTTTCTTTAAATTTATTTAGTGTTAGACCCCATTCCCTTACATGTAATCATTTTCGATGCACTTGATTTAATGCAGGCATATTTGTGAACGTCCATGCATTATTGCAACATCGTTTAATATAACATGAAAATATTACATGTATTGTACTATGTTTATGGCAATGTCGAGGTCATCACTGTTTACAAGTGTCAAGTTGATGAAAATGTTTACTTCGATCTTTAGGCTTGGTAGTTTACTACATGCTACCATTAAAACGCATGGAAACATACTCTTTTTTATCCTTAATAATATGTTCAGACAATCCCCTCGGTAGTCATAGCGTTGGGAGGCGCCAATTTATTCTTGTCTAAGGGCATTCCTCTCCACGAATGTACCACAAAAATGGATCGGAGTACCATCTGCTTGGAACAGTGCACAAAAATACGACCGGTGTAGCTCGTTACGGGTGATTCACCCTGTTTTACTCTCCTATTGCCAGTTTTGCCTCACCACACCAAGATACCCACCTCTCTAGCCCAGCCAGTCCACCCCACACTCACCAATACTCAACGACTACTGTACAAATATGCTAGCACCATGCTCACATCCCTAGTTTGTCCAATACAGAGCTAGATTCATGGGCTCATAGAATCTACGGTCTTCCTCTAATTCATTACAAAGAACAATCTTGAAGCTATTGATGCGCAGAGAAGCACTGGACTCACTTCCGGTCTCGCAGCTGGCCATCAAATCGCGGCACGAGGCGTGCGCCAGTCTACACCCGACCAGGTGCTTGCCAGTTGGGTTTCGTGGAGTGAAGATGGTGTTGCCGTCACAGGTGTGCAATTAGAGTGAACGTTGAGCACTTCTCCGTGATCCTAAAGCTCGAATCACGTCCAAAGTAGTCAAAAGAATAGGCTTCATCGGCTCAACATTCGGATCGCAACAATGCTCTTGTGCAGTTATGACTTTTCCATAGTTAAGCACCCCAGAATAGGAATATTTGACTTCAAATGTGTTCCATTTTACGATTGAGGGGTGAGAGGGAATAATATCTTGGGTTTGT